ATGGATGTTTCCTGATTTATAAAATGCAGTGCATGCACTTCTTGTTTTGTGCATGATCTTTTTAGGGAATATTTTGATGCACTGTGAGTCTAGTTTTTCATACTCTAGGATCACTTGGCTAGGATTGTTGCTTGTCATCAAGACCACCTAGGTTTCCAAATAATCTGTCTTATTGTATTTCAGATATTTCCAAGAAACACAAGTCCTGTACATGCAAACATGAATGCACATGTCTGTTCTTTTTTATTTGCAGTATGAATATCCTCAAGCTCCAATTTTTTCACACTTGTATGATATGTACTTGCCATGCTCACACATGCAGCTTTCAGTCTGTATTTAAACAATGAGCCTGAGTAAACATCCATTGTAAGCTTTGCACCCTGTTTTGCACCAGTTTGAATCAACATATTCCATTGTTCTTCATCGTGGTCTCTGAACCACACAGATGGGTCAGAGCTCCTATGCAAGACCCTCTTACGAAGCTTCTAGCATAAAAAAACTCCTTGGCTCCACCCTCTCCCTTGCACTTGTATTGGTACACTTCATGGTTGCTTCCTCAGTTCCTTCCTGCCATGAGAATAGCACCTAGGAGTTTTTCAGACAAAAGTAAGATTGCCTATCAATCTTATTAAAATAATTTTTCTTTCCCTTCTCTGTCCCCCATTTGTTCTTCTATTTCCTCATCTTTAAAAAGCCTTTTTTTTAAAAAAGGTACTGTTTATTCCCATCTCCTTGCTCACTCTTCTTTCACCCTTTTATGGCCCCAGAGAGCCTCTTTAAGAAATGTACTGGTTACATTTCTCTCACACTGATCAGCACGACAAGTATCTCTGCTGCTTGGGAGAGGAACACTACTCAGTGCCCCATCTGCGAAGGATTCAACAAAAGAGGCCTGAACTAAAACTTCTCACACTCTGGGTGCTTCACAAGAAAACAAGAGCAACATAAATGTTACAGCCAAATAAAAGTAGACATATATTAATTAATCATAAACATGTAAATATCCCCTTAACATCGAAGGACTTGAAAGATCCTGCCCAGACCCAGGACCATACCACTCATGTTCAGTGAGTAATATCAGAGGACTTGGCCAAACACAAATGCAGACAAAAAACCCTCACACAAACTTGGATAAGCCCAGTCCAGCCACAGTGGAACCCCAAGGTATCAACTCAAGCTTTGCCTCTGATAACACCAGCAGTGATAGATCAGTCCTCTGAGTAACCATCCTCCCAAACTGAACCTCCACCACTGCCCACAGAGGTGTCTACTGACCATGGTCAAGTGCTCTGCTTGGGCTTAGTATCAGAAGGCAAGCTTTGCAGCACATCTCAGCACAGTATGAAACTTACATAAAATTGGTACTAACCCAGTAGCTTTCAGTGCCAGGATCAGAGATTTGTCTTGCTTCCATTACACCTGTTCATCCACCAGGCCTCTGTTTCTTCTGTGGGGCATGGAGCTGGAGACTAGAGTTCTCCCACATGTCAGTATCAACATTATGACTACATTGAACCACCCTGGGATCACCATGATACCTTCACCCTTAGTGTCATCATGGATAATATGTACAAGGTTTTTGATGGTGAAGCTAACTTTCTTCTCCATCATCCTACTCCAAACTCTATAATTGTCGAAACAGCACAGGCAAAAGGAAAAGGAAGAATCCCTTCTACGCCAGTCAACGAAAACAGAAGGAAACTCAATCTAATAGGCTGTTGTTTTCACTCATCCATGGAACTCAGCACTGGAATTGCTAATTACCAAGCCACTATTGTTGCATATCAGCAATACCTCTGGGAAAAGTTGGAACTACTGCTAAACCACCTCCCCTAAGACTACCACATTGTGGCATTGTCCTTTATGCAAGAGGGCCTTTCCTTTGCAGCATATCCATGTCAGATACCTATATGGTGCACTGAACTCATGCAGGAGTCCTCCAGAGACATAACTTAAAATATATGAAAACCGATCTTAAGCTTTAGGCAAATGCTTAAGTCAGAAAATACAGGCTCAAGAATACAATAAATTCCAAAAAGACTGTTTTAGATTGTTTTTAAATACATTGGAATTTACAGGCTAAAAGGGCAAAGTATATATCTTTAATATCTCATTGAAAAATTAAAACGTTATAAACCTCAAAAGCTGCATAATATCTCATTGAAAAGTTAAAACGTTATAAACCTCAAAAGCTGCAAACCCTTTTTTAAAAAATGCATGAAGAAATATAAAGAAGTATTGCAGCAGGAACTGAGGCCTCATTGTCAACCAGCCCCTGAGAATTAGGTCTTAATCCAGGCTAGCAAAATACAGGTTTCTGTAGGTATGGTTTTGTGGGCTGGAACTCCTAAGAGGAGAATTCTGGGCATTGCAGTCCAAACAACAACAAAAATGGCATATATCTATTGCTTAGCTTTCTACTTATAAAACACTCATAGACTTTGACCCTAAATGTTTAGTGGAGGGGGGGGACCAGATCTCTTCAAAATCTTCTAAAATAATCTGTCCAACCCATCAGAGGAATGGATTAAGAGTGAGTAGTGCCATCTAAAGAGAATGTTATGTGCTAAATTGCCTAATAGATTACCAGTGGTGGGAACTTTTCCATCCAATGCAACATATTGTGTGGATAGGGATGTACATCTGTGTACCCATTATGATGTAGGTCACTGGTTCTTAACCTTTGTTACTCAGATGTTTTTGGACTGCAACTCCCAGAAGCCTTCACCATCAGCTCTGCTGGCTGAAGTTTCTGGGAGTTGCAGTTCAAATACACCTGAGTAACAAAGGTTAAGAACCACTGGTGTAGGTGATAGACTCAGACTCAGGAGACCTGAGTCTGAATTCCTTCTCATCCATGGAATCTGATTGGGGAAGATGGCACTGTTAGAAATGCTCCTTAAATATATCACTTACATTGAAAACCCTATTAGGATTGCTGTAAGTAGGATGCGACTTGACAGTACATAAGACAGGGATGTGCATGGTAGCAGTTAAATCTATTACTGCATTTCCGCTATACCCTAGTAAAAATATTTTTCAGCATTTTGGTTAGTGACTGCCTCTTATCATAAGAGGAATCACCATGGTATTAATTCTTTATATCATTCTGACTAGTAATAAGAAAGAAAGAAAGAAAGAAATAGTGTAGCAAGAATTGTTCTTTTTTCTCCCCTTCAGATATTCATAAAATTCTGTAGTGCTATCCTGGAGACATTTCCTTTGTGCTTTGCTTGCATATTTTGTCGTTTAAAAGCTTAGTTTTCCTGAGAAAAGCTACACAAGCTCTCAGCTCTTGAGACACTAGAGCTAGCTTTGAACTTCAGAGTACAGATCTAATTACACAGCTTGTAGCTGTGGAACCACTTTTCTCTATTCCAAATTACTTTTTCCAACTTATTTGCATAATGTAATACAGAGAGGTTAGCCACTGAAATAATAATAATAATAATAAAACTTGACATAGTTAGGACAGACTAAGTTAACCCTTTTAGATCTATCTGTAGTGATCTGTTTTATATGTTCGTCAAATAGAATTTTAAAAATGATGTATTTTAAAAGTTCAGCCTGTGTGTTGTGGTCTTAGATTAATGCAAGTCTTTCTTTTCTCTTCTTAGTTTAAATCATATTAACAATAAATGAGTGTACAATCCTAGATGGATTTCATTATTGTAGCATAAGGTGTTCCTTCCACCAAATCAAATGCAGTGGAACTTCTGTCAGCTCACCTCTGTTTCACCTGTATGAAGCTGACTGGCAATCAGTTGACAAACTTTTACGTAAGCTCATGGAACTGAGTACCCTAAGGCCAAGATGTTGTACTGGCAGATGGCTTAGATCAGTGGTTCTTAACCTTGGGTTACTCAGGTTTTGTTGAACTGCAACTCCCAGAAACCCCATCCAGCACAGCTGGTGGTGAAGGCTTCTGGGAGTTGCAGTCCAAAAACACCTGACTAACCCAAGGTTAAGAACCACTGGCTTAGATGACTCTAAGACAAATGAATGGGCCTGCTAAAGTTGGTAGCTTAAGGGACCTCTCAGGTTCAAGGGATATATGCATAGAACAGTGTTCACAGAGACAACACCCAGGGAGAAATGTGGATACATTGAATGGAAGAACATAGTGCTTCAAATATAGTTGCTGCTAGAAAAGGAAGTTTCACCATTCAAATATAACAAAATATACACTTATCCATGTTCTTGGTATTTATTTCAACATTGGACCAAATCACATATCCAAATCATTTTGTTAAAAAGGAGCTTCGTCTTCAAAAGCACAAACTTAAATATATCTACTCAGAAGAAAGGCACATTGAGTTAACCAATCCAAGGTAGATGTGTATAGGATTTTAGTTAACAAAATCCAAGAATGGTCTTTTAAAGTTATGTATATTATCTTTGTGCTTTTAGACAATTAAAAGAAGGTTCTCCGAAGCACTCAATGTGTGTTCTAGTGTTATTCTAGGAGAATATGTTGTGTCTTTTTGAATCAGTCTTTGAGCTCAATTTTGTTTTTAGCCTCCAGAAACAGAAGGCTATAAATCTGCTTCCCAGTTGTACCCCTTAGGACTGAGAGGCAGCGGTGCATGGCTGAATGATTTCATCACTAAAATAATAACAATTGAAAACAAAAGAAAAAAAGCTTTCTCTCTGAGTTGCTAGCTTCATATGTGTAGGAATCTTTATTCTCAAAGAGAAACATTCTGTTCTATGAATCCAATATCTAGTCTGATGTTATCTGGCCTAATCAGGGGTTTATCAGCTCATATGATCCTTTCGAAAACTAGGCATCGTCTGGCACTCTGTATTACTACTTTAAAATGAAATATATTTTTTTTCAAATGTGTAATAGATTTTCACATGTAAGTATATATGTATGTGACCTTGGAGCAAAATAAGTTGCTATGTGTTCAGCCATTAGCATCAAATCTGGTATTAAATGAATAATGTTAAATCTACCTCTTGTGGCTAAACAAATATTTGTCTTTTTTAATTTCAAGGTCATGGTGTTCGTTCATGCTCGAAATGCCACTGTGCGGACTGCCATGGCTCTTCGTGAGAAAGCTAAAAACAATGGTCACATTTGCTACTTTTTGTCATCTCGAGGAGCTGAGTTTGGACAGTTGGAGAAACAAGTAAGTGACTTGTAGAGCTGATTGGTTTTGTGGCCCTGTCCATAAAAATTCTGTTTCCCTACCGTGGATTACATGTAGTACCTGCAATGCCAGTTCATTTTATTTATTTATTTGATTTTTATCCCACTTTTCTCCCAGTGAAGGGATTCAAGGCAGCATACAACAACTAAAAATATTGCATATTGCTATAGTGCATATTTTTTTAAAAGTACATTAGATATCAAAATACTATTAAGCCTATAACAATATTAAAACCATTGCTAGTTTAAAACAAATTGAAATAAATTTAAAATAGGTGATTCAGAAATAGAATATGCTGTTTCCCCCACTAAAAACTCTAGCTGTACTAAGACATCCAGAAAATCAAAAGCCAATTTATGCAGGAAAGTTTTCACCTGCTAGCAGAAGGATGGGGGGCAGAGTGGGCAACCTATCCTCTTGTGGAAGGGAATTCCATAGATTGGGAACATCCACTGAAAACACTTTATCTTGAGTCCTTACTGAACATACCTACTGAGGTGACAAGACACAGAGAACCTGTTCTCTGAAGTCCTCAGTGACTGGGAAAGCTTATATATGAGGAGAGACAGTCCTTCAAATGGCGTGGACCAGTTTCTACAATTTGACATGGTGTTTAAAGAGATACAATACTGAGTTTCACATTGGAAAATGATGAATCTTGCTTCTGATGCAATTCCACTAGCACTACTGATGCTATTCTTGGTTAATTGCTTGAACTGCAAATGAGGCGAGAATCACAGTAATCTAAATTCACAGGTGATATGGTGACTATCTTGAATTGTAAAACTGCTGCTGAGTGCAAAAGATATTGAATGAAGCTGCTGTAGAATGTGTTCCTCCTGTGCCAGTCAAAAAGATTTCAGAAGTGTGGCAGATAGGGTTGCCAGTTCTCAGCCTCCAATTAGGGTCTGAAATCTTGACGTAGAGGTCTAAAACCTGATCCTAGGAACTGAAAACTTATGTAGATGTTATAGAGGCAGGCATTGCTACAATTTCTGCAAAAGTTCACGTCCTGCACGCTGTTGTCCACAGTACCCATCATACAGTTTTTCCAGACACTAAACTGCTGTTAGTGCTTTTGCACTACTAACCACTAGTTGATCAGCATGGTTGGGTTTTTTCCTCAGCTCTCTTAGACTTTGCAACCCTTGTGGCTGGAGTCTTTAACATGGTTCCTTCCAGTGCCATCCTTTTGCCAGTGTCCAGAAGGTGACAAGTAACTAATGTAATTTGTCACTTAGGAGGTGATACCATAAAAAAAAAAGTTGAGGCTGTATGTATAATGGGGTCTTCTCAATGGCGTAATTCTTATTTATTTATTTATTTATTTATTTATTTATTTATTTATTTATTTATTTATTTATTTATTTATTTATTTATTTATTTATTTATTTATTTAAATATGTACCTCTGTTTTTCTTCTTTTATTTATTTAACTTATATGCCACCCACACTACGAATCATCATGTGCTAAGAAACAAGTATCACCTGGGCCTTTGGTTGGACTTCTTTTGCAGTACTAAAATTAGTACTCTAGCACCATCACAATATGAGAAGGAGCAACTTTGGGAAATGAGGTATCCTTCCTCTCTTGCAAAAAGTACACTCTGCTCTTCTTTGTCAGTTCCCTAGGACTGGGAAATTACTGGAAAATATACTCTGGTTTCTGCTACTGGCCAAGAGACTAAAAGTCACTGAGACACTGAACATGGTCCTTACCTGGCTCCATCCATCAACCAGAGAAATACCTGCTTCTCTCCTGTTTATTCGTCTTCTTTCCCCTTCCATTTTTCTTTCTTTCTATATTCTGAGTTTCCAGTTGTGAGCCAATATGTGGGAGCTATCTCAACTTTTGATATTGTTTCGGTACAGAAAATTTCAGACATCTCTCTCTTTCTCTCTCTCTCTCTCTCTGTCCCTCCCTCCCAGGAGGCCTGGGTTTGAATCCCTGCTCATGCGACCCCACTCACTGGGGTGTATGTATGGAACTGGTAGAACCACTCCTTAAATGTCTCATTTTGATAGGCCTATTTGAGTTACTGTAAGCCAGCTCTGACTTGATGTATAATAAGATAACAGCAAATTTTTAAAAACTAGTTCCTTCCCAGCTAATCACCAAAATTCCTCAGTACTTCTATCAAAATTATCTTCCCACTTCTTCTACTTTCCCATCCAGTTCCACTTTCTGCATCTCCGGTGCTATGCTCGTCTTCAGTTCAAGCTGACCATTCACATCCTATGTGTTACAGTTTTTTTATACTGCTATGCAAAGCTAAGGGTTTAGTCGTTGTCTAGTCATTTAGTCGTGTCAGACTCTTCGTGACCCCATGGACCAGAGCACGCCAGGCTCTCCTATCTTCCACTGCCTCCCATAGTTGTGTCAAATTCATCTTGGTTGCTTCGATGACACTGTCCAACCATCTCATCCTCTGTCATCCCCTTCTCCTCTTGCCGTCACACTTTCCCAACATCAAGGTCTTTTCCAAGGAGTCTTCTCTTCTCATGAGATGGCCAAAGTACTGGAGCCTCAGCTTCAGGATCGGTCCTTCCAGTGAACACTCAGGGTTGATTTCCTTCAAAATGGATAGGTTTGTTCTCCTTGCAGCCCAGGGGACTCTTAAGAGGCTCCTCTAGCATGAGAATTCAAAGGCATCAATTCTTCCGTGGTCAGCTTTCTTTATGGTCCAGCTCTCACTTCCATACATCACTACAGGAAAGGGTTTAGACTGAACACTGTTCTCAGGATCAGGATTGTTTTCTTTAAGCATTGGTTTGGTGCCTCATTTAATTTCATTGATTCATTTATTTTCTTTATACCACATCTTTTATTTCATTAAAGGCATTCAGAGTGGCTAAATCTATTTTCTATCATTTGTTTCTTTTATGTTTCCTGTATATTTGATACAGGATGTAGCATATTGTCCTAGGTGTCATAAATGCAGTTTTCTATTGAGCAGATAGTGTTTGTAATGAGTGGCTACAAGTTTCTCACGGCAACATGTTTGTGTGTGAGGGGAGTCGTCTTTAAAAAGTTCTTTAAACTTTTAGCATCATAAACTTGTCCAGAAAGTTGGATAGAGTTCAGCTGAATGCCCACAAGAGGAGATAAGAATCAGGAGATCCAATTGCATCAGGTTTCTGTTTGCTACTGTTCTTCTTCTACCATATATTTACCCAATAGTTACAGTGAAAGGTCCTTCAGACTAGACAAGTTGAGGTTTAGGTCTCTGCACTCATTTGCTAGACTAAATTTGAGGCAGACTAATATAGTTTCTGGCCTAATCAGTGAGGCCTGAATCCAATTGATAATGCCAGCTAGAGCAGATGGTTTGAACCAGTGGAGTCTATGTAAGTTCAGCATTTGATTCAGTAGGCCCCATTCAGCAGTTGTTTCCCTGGGCTTATTCTATTTGGCACTACTAGTTGGATTTAGGGCCTACTTTTTATTGTTGACTCCATAAGTTCTCTTCAACGACAACTATGAAGTTTGTCTGTGGTTAATTTATGGTAGCAGACTGTGTAGTATCTGCTGGTGATATATTTCAACAAGGAATTTTAGGGTTTTATTTTCTTCTTTTTCTTTTATTAGTACTCCATGACATGGCAGGCTAATTAAGACCCATCTGTTAAGACACACTACTAAAGCATTAATATTATTTTTTCATAAGCGACAAGTTTGCTTCTGAAACCAATAGGTTTCTCTCTCATTAGTGATAATTAATAGAGTTGTTTCATTTCCCTGTGAGATCAGTGAACAAAAGAGATGTTTTCATCTTCTAATAATAGCAGGAAGAAGTTATTTGTTGTTCCTTCCAGAATGGTGGCTCTCTAATATGAAGCATTTCTTATAATAAAACTTCAGCATAGCACATGAAAGACTTAGCTGAGGTATAACCTTGTTTAAAGGTTCAGTAGCTTATTTCTTTTAGCAGCCTTTTTCTGCATTTTTCCATCTCTCAGAGGGAATTTTAAGTGCTAAGCCTAAATATGATGTAATTGTATAAAAGTGCTTCAGATTTACTTCTAATTGTTCTTTAAGGGAAAGAACAAGATTGTTTTTTTTTAAAAAAAATAGAGTATCTACTTTGCTTACTTGAAGGATAGAACTTAAATTTTCAGAGAAGAAAGTTAATGTTTGCATCTTTGCTAAGCAGGTTATAAAAACCTCAGATGAATATTACTCTTTGGAAGTTAGAGACTGATGGACTTATAAATGGAAAATAAATATGTTATGTATATGCCTTATTGAAGAAGATTATATTTCAGTATGATGGCATTTAGAGATAGCAAAAAAAAATGTCACAGTGGCCATCTTATTGACAATGATAATTATCCTGCAAGTGGCTGTTCACAAAGTAATTGTTGATAACACATTTATCACTGCACTGATGACCTCACTGATACGTGTGATGTGATTTATGAAATGTCCATGTTCAATCTAGAATAGAATAGAATGTAATTTCACTTTTTACATCCTGCTCCCATAAATATGGTGGCTGAGAATAAATTTCATAAAGATGATGAAATGGGTAATATCCATGGAAGCTTACACTATAAAAAGTATGTTAGCTTTTAGGCTGCTATAGACCACCACAGACTAACATAGATAGTATGGAAATAAGAACAAATAATAAAATAAAATTTAATAATAATTAACCTGCAAATCATAAGCACATACAGTGTATTAATTATTGTAATGGCAGTATATTTTTTTAAATTACATATATAACAGGATGGACAGTGCTCTGGGGTCAGGGATTATTTATTAGATTTGCTGACAGCCTGGGAGCCCAATATTTAAGTGGATATGATCAAATAAATTAATCTGCATTTTTTTAAAAAAAAGATTAACATGTATTGTAGGCTTGTCAGAGTGGGTTTTTTAGTACTAAAAATGGGCTTAAATACAACATTAAAAATTGAGAGTTAGCTTTAACGTCTGTTTAAATAGCTAGATTATGTTGATTTTTTGTGTCTTG